CAAAATCTCTACCCTTGGTCACAGATGAACAAACCCTGAAGCTGAGGGGTTCAGAGAACACTTAAAATTCAAAGAAGTGTGAAGATGGCAAAGATCAAAATGTTTCRCTCTAGTTTCCTTAGAAATAAAGACACCATCTGCTCCTTAGTGAGGGGAAAGATGGAGAAAGAATGATAAGGAAAGTATGGGAAAAGACTATTCCATAAGAACTGTTGTCTTCTACTCTGTTACAACTCTTCATTATTTCTTCTTCACTCAGTTGGCAGCCTGTTGAGGGCTGTTCAGGGCAGCTGCCCCTCATGGTACAGACAGCTACTGCTTGGGGAGTTGTTTGATGGGCTGCCTTTATCTGCAATGGCTTTTTTTTTAGTCCATGAGGGCCCAGAATGGATCTTCTGAGAATGCTGCCTGTCCAGTGAAGGACCTGTCATTTCTGTAACACAGAGTCTCAGCTTTCCAATCTGTTGAAAACTCAGCTGTCAACAAGAAGGATTTTCCTTAGCAGATAYAATTTCTTTAAATCCTGGTTTGATTGTTGAAACTTCCTCTGGTGTTCTGTCTGCTCCTAAATTGAGCACCACTACACTCCTCCTCTATGATCAAATTGTGTTCCCCTGCACATCAGAGATAAAAGCTGTTTGTCTGCTCAGCTGCGAGAGAGGAAAGCAGAAGAAAAAGAGACACAGCTGTTTTTCTGCYTTTCATCCATTGCAAACCCTCTCTTACATCTCARTTGTCCACAGAGAGAAGGGCATGGGAGCAAATACACAGACAGTGACAGACCCCATGTTGATCAGTGTCTCACTGCCATATTAACTTTGGGAMATCTCTTTCAGGAGAGTAACTTTACAAAAAGTAATGAAATATTTGTCCAAATTTGCCTTAATGGTCTAAAATTCTCTCAGCTCCATCCCAGGCTATGCTATCACAGAGAAACACTTGGATTTKATCTCAGTTGTCTATCTTATCACAGAGCATCATACCATCCTTCTAAAGATAACTTTTCCTACGAAAAACAGAAGTTCTTTGATGCTACTGAATCATGGCACCTTTCTTTAAATTACTGAGGAAAATTGTTTCACACTCTATGTGAAAACTATTCAAACATATTAAGGGAGTGAACAGGGAAGGTTGTTTTTTATATGCAGGTTATATTGGAGTTTCTAAACCACTAATAATTTCACATTGATTTAGGCTAAACATCAATAATAGAAGTTCTGCATCCCAAAGCTGACAGACTTTCTCTGTCTGCCTTGATTGGGGTGGTTTTTGGGRATTGTCCAAAGATGTCTTCAATTCCTTCACCAGATCTGTGAAATCCTGATATTTCTTACCTGATGTGTCTTTCTGCTTGAGGTTCAAGTCCCCTAGGGGATGAAAGGAAGATCAGAGTATTACAAAAAAGCCTTGTGACTTGGAGACTACATTGGAAAAGAAAACACCTACTGAAAATATCTTTTTATCCYTTGCATATTCCTCATAATCTTGGGAAAAATACTTATCTGTGAGCATCTTATGAGAATGAAATTTCAGAAAGATTTGGTATTGCCTTGTTGTTATTTTAGGTTTAATGAACTAAAATCCAACATCTGCACTAGTCCACATTGCTGCCTAAGCAGTAGTGCCAAAAATAGCAGCTCTCCTAAATGCACCATCTCATATTCAATTGAAGCTTGAGTTACACAGATTCAAGCATCAAAAAGGGACTAGTTGAATTCTGATAAAGTAACTCAACAGTTTCCAGRATAAATTGGTGGAATAAGGAATAAGCCAGTAGCTTAACCATCTTCAAACCTAAACCTATATATTTTCCCCTCCCCTGCTCTCCCAGAGACACTGTATTTCTCTCTGTCTCAAACTGGGGGAAATAGAAATATTCCACTTCCAGCTGTCTCTTCCCACCACTTTTCTTTGCTCATTCTTTTCAGCCAGAAAAGGAGATAAGTGCTGAAATGATAGTTATTCCAGCATCAGCCCAGTAGCTGAAGTGAGACTTATGAAGGCTTGGTAAAATCATTCAGAAATCCTGCTATGAAAATGATCTTATTTCCATCTTTTTTTTTTTCCACATGGAGGTACAGCATTCTACACATAGAATTAACCTGTTAAACACAYGGACTACTGAAGGACAAGCAATATATGCTATGTAAATGTTATATACATGAGGAAAATTTGAACCATAAGATAAGTTTCTAAGTCACTGTATGGTACTGGCATTTCCACTCTAGTTTGGGCCCCCTATTAGAAGCACTGCCCCCTGTTTTCACTGCACTGACTCCTCTGAAGCCTTGAAGATGCCTGATTTCTGCTGGGTTAATCAGACAACCAATGAAGTAAATATATATATATATATGTATGTATATAGAAAAAGAAGAAGTGGGTAACATAATTAATTTTTTAGTGAAAGGGGCCCTGCCCTTTTCTTCTCATCTCTCTGAAAGTTAATGAAATTTGGGGTTTTCCCACCCACCCACACCTGTTGGATTTAGTTCTGGTGGGAAAAGGACTAGAGAGGGCTGCCAGTCACTGACAAATATTTATTTGCCAGATAAAATGTGGAGTGAATGGTCCTGAAGGAGGGTAAGAGGTCTGATGTTCCCTGCATCTTTCCTGGCAGTGTTTGATGGAATGCATACACCTCATCATGGGATGAAGGAAGGTGCTGCCTGGTAACCCTTCCTCATCCCTTTCACAGCTCCACACAGTCTTGATGTGGCTGCTGAGCATCAAGTCCCATAGTGAGAGCACAAATCAATGGGTTTTAAATTGGCAGAGGTTCTTCTGCTTTAAAGGAGTCAGAGGTGTTATATTAAATTAGATAAAAATTACCTTATCTTCCTTAAGTCAACYCAGACCTGCAACAGATTAACTAAATCATTTCAGCTGGAGCCAGTATATATTTGAACTTGTCTTGTATGTCCACAGACTTGCTGCAGTAGCTGTCAATGRACAGATGGGCAAATAAAAATATCATGGAAACTGAAAAAATCAATTAACACATTCAGCATGTTTAGTTTGTTTGGAAAAGTTTGGAAATAAACAGAATCAGATAGCCCACTTCTGATCACCTTCAAGGCTTTTTTTTCTTCTTTACGGGCACTACTAAATCAGAGCCAACATAAGAGCAGTAACTAAGATGGAAATAAATTATTATTGTTGTCGCTGCACAATAATTTAATCTAAAAGAAAAAGAAACTATTATTGTTGTTATGTTTATGGTCTAACTAAACTATTTTGCAAATTTGCTAAGATCTCACACATGAGTTTGGCTGTCTTGAGCTCCGTATTAGACAATGGAGCTAAAGAATAAAAAGATGAAATGTCTTGTCCAAAGGTATCCAACAAGTCACTGATGAGGTTGGAACCCAACCAGTAGATCTCCCAAAGTACAGGTGCAGCTCCGGGGTAGCTCATAGGTTCACTGAAAATTGTTCACTCTGTGGTTTAATTCATTTTACAGTGCCACTGCAAATGCAAGGGAAGAGTCAGGGACTCCCCATGTGTCTGGGGAGTGCAGCAGCTTTGATTTAAATAAGATTTAATTGCCATGGCATCCTTAATCCTGTATGCCCATTGTCTGTTCTCCAGGGCATGATGCCTGGGCTTGGAAAACTCAACCGCAAAGGTTGGATCAACTCACAAATARATCATTGTTGGTCATCAAAATAACTCAAATCTGTAAAAGAAATCTGGCTTCTTGTAGAAGAAATAGGAATAGTTCCTTCCCCACAATTTTATTCTGTGCTTTTCTGGATCTGGAGTAGCGCTGAGATCAGCTAACACATTTCATGCCCAGTCAAATCTGACTACTTCTGGGTGCACAAGAGTTCAGCAAGTACAGGTCAGGGTTCTGGCATAGATTTGTTTTGCAGGAGAAACCCTTATCTAGCCCATATGCACATCTACACCACTGCCCAGGCATGTGCCAGAGTCCAGTGACCAAAACAGGATCACCTTGCATCTTCTGGTAGCAAAACCGCAYGACTGTCTCAGGCTAATGGGCTTTACATTTTTATCCTTTTGGTTTTCCCTTAAGGTGTAAAGCATTCATATTAAAGCACCTCCCTTTGGCAAGCACCAGTCATTACTGAAGAATTACCCTGAAGTGCCTCCTCACCCTACCCCTCAAACTGCAGAAAGCAGATATCTCCCATGAGCTTCTGATCCAAATTCTTCCCTTTGGGAAGTTTCCCAGGACCCTCACTGTTTTGATTAGCAGTTTGTCTTTCTGCTAGAATGGTTGATAGATGAAATTGGATTTTGTAGCAGTTCCTGGTTATAGTAGGATTAATAATTCTSCCTCTTCTTACCATGTGCACACTGGCAGGGCTCTTGACTGGGTACTGAGCATGTGCTGAGACAATCTGTTCCTTTGGCTTTCTCTTACACAAAGATGGTTGGTTTTGATTTTAGCAATTTCTCCTTCTCGCTTTTCTTCTTTTTCCTGTCGATTATGGAAAAAAAAAAAAAAAGAGAAGGGTGGAGAGGAACTAGACTGGGGCAATGCTCTTAAAGAAATGCCTGCACACTTGGTCTTTGTAAGAATGTGCACTTCTCCGCAAAGAAGAAGAGACACAGGTTGTTCACTCTTCTTTGGCAAGACATTAAGCAKGCAAAACGACCAAAGCAAATAAAGCCTCGTACCAATTTTGACCAAGGATTTCACTCTCTCAGCCAGGTGAAGAGCCTTACAAATGTTTGGGCTTGAGCTGCTGTAAAACCTCTCCTTCTGTAAAGAGCGAGCCTCGGATCTAGCAAAGCCATTTTATTAATAAGCATCAGGGGTTTAGAGAAACAAAGGCTGGAGGAGGGGAGAGGGAGCCTTATTTTAGGAAGGGGGCCAAGAAAGACAAGATGTTTAGGAGGGGGAAGTATTGACACCCTTGGAATAGAGAAAGTGTCGAATGCCAGCTGCAGAGCGCCTAAAAGAATGAGAGGCTCCGATGCTTTTGTCTCCTTATATGGTAAAATGATAGCGAGGGGTTTCACTAGGCTGGGGAAGGCAGCAGCTCTTTCCACACAGCACTGACTGCAGAGCTGGAATCGGGAGAGCTCTGTGCAGGCAGGAAAGCCCCAGCTGGCTGTCCAGCTCTCCGCTGCAAGCAGGCCARTGTGCTCTGTGCACATTTGTTAATGGATGTGACCCCCTGTCCCCGCTCCGGGAGGTGGCATTAACTGCCCGCTGCTGCTCTGTAAGTAAATACCCCTTTTTTCCCTTTCCACCACCCACAGAACATATCTTTGAAGGTGTCGCTTTGAACAAAGGGTGCAGAGAGGAGGAGAGGGCTGTTTAATGCCCCAGTGGGTTGTTGGGGAAGGATGCGAGGAGAGAGATTGCCGGGTCTCCTTTCTCCTGAGTGCACGGGGAGGGGTGCGAAGAGGAGAAAGACAAATTTCTCATCACGGCAATTACTGCTGCATGTCCGTCAGTAAAGTGACACATCAGCGAGCTGATGAAGCGCTGGGTCTTTTCATGTGTAACTATTTTTAATGACTGTTTTGTGCTGCGTGCCTAATCCACTGGGGAGGTGATAAAAAGTAGAAGATGAGGTCTTAGATTCCTTACACCTCCGTGCACTCCTGCTGCCGMGCTCAACAAAGGAGCATTTTTGCACTGTAGCAAGAGCAGATGCACATGAAACAAAGGTAGCCTTTCCTCTCTGCAAACAGTGTGGGCAGATTTTGTATGGGAAAAAAGGGGAGCCATCAGCACGGTGTTTCTTCTTTTTATGTGGAGAGAATAAATTAGAATACAAATCCCAAYTAATAGCTCTGCGTTCCTTCTTTTTGYGCTTCTCCTCTGTGTGCATGTGTGTGCAGCCACAATAACCCAGTCTTTACTGTGTGCTAATGTGGATTTCTCTGTGTACATAATAAAGGAAATACTAACTTTCATTGCATTGGTGGCTACTCCAAACTTTCTGCTTCCCCCAAGGGATACGGCKTTTGTTTAGTTGACCAGATACCTGCATAATTCAGCTTTGCTGTGTACARAGACACACAAAGTCACGAGAAAGCAAACCTCATAAAATATATCCACCAGCTAGTCGGTCAGTGTGTGATTGTTGCTCCCCTGACTCCAATCTAGAGGTGCATTAACTAAGATTGCTAATKGACACTGAGATTGCCAGGGTCAGTAGCTGTAACATTTATTGATGGCTGTGCATATTTATGTGTTGTCTTGAATAGGAATTATTCTAAAAGGGACCAACATAAGCCTGTGTTATTAGACACATAAATGAATCCAAATGTGCAAGAATTTTGCAATTAAGGTCGTGTCTGGGTTTCTGCTGTGAACCCTATTTTCATCAACGCATAAGTTTATGGGATTCTCAGCTTTCTTGCCAAAACCTTCTGTGCCTTTTATCAGCCAGATGGTGAACTTTGAAAATGATTGCTTCAGGCATTTGGATATGGAAAGCAATAAAAATTGTCTATATTGGTTTATTTTATAAAAATTCRTGTCCATTTTGTACACCTGTAGATATACCTGGGAAAGGATGGATTCTAAAGGCTGCTTTTTCAATAGAATCTGAACACTTCTTGGTCACATTTGGAGAAAAGTTTTTAAAAAGTATATGAGTTGCTATATTGAAAACTCAGTTCCTGACACACCATAGTGTCACTATCAGAATCRAACAAGAGCACCACTAAAAACTGTCTTTTACCATAGCCATAGCATGGATAATGATCTCTGGCTTGTGAGCCAACATGTAGTTTGGGTGAGTGGGGCAGCTGAAAAGTCACAAAATGCCATTGTTGAGAAATAAAATTTGTAAAAGTTAGATTTCCACCTGACATCTCCATCTAACTAGCACACCTGAGGCTAGGGGATGGACCAGTTCTTGTGGTCTCTTAAAAAAAAAGCCCAAGATGGCTAAAGTTCTGTGATAAAATATAGTTATTTTTGGTTCTCACCATTCTGCCAAATGTGCTCCCATGGGAATCAGCAGGGCTACATATGCCAGTACCAAATAGTCACTTCCAGGTGGTTTAGATTTACTGGAAAATATAACTAGTTTTTATCAAATCACTGTTATCGCAGTGGCTATACTGTGTCAGATATTTGTCCATGTGAAGCTCCCACCATGAAAAATATGCAAAAACATGGTGATTCCCAGCTGAAGCATTCAGGTACAAATAATGATCTGTTTCACACCTATAATTATACTGTTTCTTAGAGAAGTCTGGGGATAGCACTTTCCCTGAAATGAYATCTTTCCCGTCCATACAGACATCAGCTCTCCCAGATGGCATGCCTTGCATTAGAAAAGAGATCAGACAACTTTGATCACACACAACACAGTCTGCCAGGATTCCATCATGCTTTGAACATCCAAAACTAAAAAAAAAGAAAAAATAACCCCAAAACATTGGTGACAAAGAACAGCTCCTACAATTGTAAGGAATAGCGATGCTTTCTGCTAYATTGCACTGCAAATTCAAGCTTTCATCCCTAAAGAAAGGGATGAGGAGGGCTGCAAAGACCTAAATTCACAAGACACCCCTGTCTCAGTTCTCCAGGGCATTGAGCCCTGCTCCTCAGAGCCAAGCAATGGCTGATGTCCTCACTGCTGATGTTCTCACCTCCCTGGCTTGCCTCATCTCACAGGGACCAGTACATTCAGTTAAAGGAAGGTCAGACAAGTCAGATARTCCTGTTGCTGCTGGCCAGCAGGCTTACACTCTTTCAAGGTCCCCATCGACCAGTGACATTCAGGTCTAAGTCTCATTCACRTTTCTCTGGTGGATAAATCTGACCTGAGCATCTCTGGACAAACTCTGGATGGTGTAGTGTTGTAGGCAATCATCTTCCCTCACTCGGGTACTGCTTCAGAGATTGGGGGAATCTCATAATTTGCATTTTTAGACTGATTAATTCTAATGATGTAATTTTAATATTTCATTTACATATGCACAGTTATTTGTGATGCAGATTCACCCCAAGTGAGAGTGTGAAATGGCARGGTAATGACAGGTTTCATGAAAATAAATCTTGGATGCATTGACAGCCACTGAAGCATTAACATCTCAACAATATTAATTAGCTATATATAGAGAGAATTTGATTACAAACCACTAGAGCCTTCTTCTAAGGATGAAGATCAAAATACTCATGCCGGGTGAAAAAGTTACAATCCTAATTTTGTTCCTTTTCACATACCCTTCTGTATTATATTGGATTATATCAACTATGATGATGAAWGGTTACTGTACATATAATAATATGCTGTCAGAGGAATGCAGGTGAGCATAACACTGACATAAGCATATTCCCTGCTCCCTTTCACAGGGAATTTTCAAATTTAAACTTTCAAATATATCAACCACCASAGAGCAAGGTCTAGGGTGTGATGGTGTGAAATAGTTCTGGACCCTTGGCAAGCACAAGCATAAGGGCTCAAAACCCACCCCACTTTCTTCACTTCATCTTGCATAAAAAAGCAGGGAGTTGCAAAAAGCCSTGAAATACCTGTAAGCATTTACAGACATATTTTGTCATTTCTCTGAAGCACGCTTGAGATTTAGAGCAGAAGTGTCTTCAGAGACCATGATCTTGCCTTTGATGAACTCCACCTCTCTGTACGTGCTTTGCATCTCTCCATGGTGGACTGAACATCTTCCTTCTTCTGATAGAAACAATCTTGCCCACAAAAAGATTGCCTATGTCCTTGTTCCGAGGCTCTTTACACCTTTCTGTGCTTTCTTCTGTACCTCTCACTCACCACAGGTACTTCAGTTCAACCCTAGCAGATGTTCTCTTGGCTCTCTGAGTCCAGTCTGTTTTTGTGCCCTGGGTAGTAGTACAGCAAAAATTGGGAACATGACTGCATGGTAGCACATGGCATTTCTGGGTATTTTTACCTTAAAGTCTAATTTCTCTGAGATTAGCAGTGTTCCTCTCAATAAGAGAAGGCAATCCTTTCTAGGAAAACAAACTTTTGTTGGAGTTTAGTGACTGCAGACATTTAGATTATACACTACTTATGCAGGTTGGTGCCAGAAATAATAATAAAGTTTATTAATCTTATACTATTTTTCCTTTATCTTTTTCAGTTATCTGCTTAAATGTTCTTATCAGAAATATCATTTTTTATGCTTAAGTAGTACCAAGTATTTGACCTCTGAGCAAGCATTTGCTTATTCTGCAAAAGAAAGGAGGACAGCAATTTCAAAAGGCTTTAAAATGGAAAATAAGAACAAGCCTTTCCACTTGAACTGTGCCTTTCCTTGCTGTGGCAGATTGAAGTCATGTTTCATGTTATTTCAATGGGCTCCTTTTGTAATTGAAATACATGCAGGGATATTGGTGAGGCCATACATCCTCCAGGCATTTCAGTATCAGCCTGAGGTAACTGTAAATGGTGTGGGGGACGCTCTCAAAGTGCCAGTGCTCAGTTCCTCTGTGGCATTTGTAGACACTGCCATTGGTTCTTGCTCTACTGTGGAGTGGCTTTAGACTGGAGCAGATCTTTATTGACTGCCAAACATAGCAAACCACACAGAACCCACAGGTGGAATGTTCCTTCTCCACTACTATAACTGGGATTACTTCAGTCAGGCACATGAGGAACCTTGCCACACAAGAAATTTTTTCTGCTTGCATTTCTGTTTTATTTATGTTCTGCTAAGGAATACAATCTTAACCAGCACAATATCCACTTTCCAATTCATAATAGGCTGGCTGTGCAATCCAGACAGGAACCAGGTATGCTTTGGTTATGTGCATATGTTAATGCAGTCTGCCTGGTCAGRAAATTGCTCTAAAGAGTTAAAAAAGGCTCTAAAAAGCGATATCAAAATGTTATACCATAGGCAAAATAAGTCAGTCATTTCAAAGGAAGSTAAGACCTTGGAAAAATCTAAATGTAATTTTGAAGAATATTTTTGACTTTATTAAAAATTAAACCTTTTTCTTCTTTAAATAGATTTTAAAATTTATCATCTAAAGGCAGGACTGGGATATTTTACTTGGGGTCAAGCTTTTACTGGTTTTTGTTATTATTACTATTATTTTCAAATATCAAACCATTTTTTCCTGGCTTTTCCTGAAGATCTTCTGAGAGATCTTTGAATATCTACTCTGAGCTTAAAAAAACAGCAGTGGACACCTCTGTAACTGAGTACTTCTAATGTCCTAACCTTGATGTGGGCACTGAGCTTATAAACGGGGCTGTTCTGGGAGAGAAAT